TTTTTTTTTCTGCTTGCGTTTCCAACTTGTTTGTCGTAATTTTTATGTTTACACACGTGACATTTTCGCTCAGTTGATTGTTTTCTCATGAAGTGGTCACCTGAAAGGAGTTGACCGTCTCGCCGCATCTGAGTTGTGTCAACATCATGTCTATTTCTTTTGGTGAAGGGTGGGTAGGGGCGCTCACATGAGAGCATGTTATTTTTAAAAAAAGTAAATAATACTTCTTTTGTTGAAAATATAAAGATTACAATTTGAATACTAAACAAGTAGAAAAAAAAAAAATGAAAAATTAAAAAAAAAAAAAAGACTTTCTTATAAGATGAGTTTAAACGCAGCAAGCAATAGAAAATAATTTAAATATTCTTAAAATAAAATGATGTATGTGCAGAAATATTTTCAAAATTAATAAAAATAAAACATTATGTTTGGTCTGCATTCAATTTGAATCATTTGGTTTCATAGAGTGCTCATCTACACCTCTGAACAGTCTTTCTGTGAGTAAAGCATTTTAATAATATTTAAGTTATTTTGTAACTCTACTAGTTACTTTAAAGTCGTCTTTGATTGAAAGTCTTCTTTTAAAAAGTCGTTTTTATATATTTCATTTTTCATGTCAAAGCACATCATCTAAAGGGGCACTTCTTCTAATATTTATCAAGTTAATGTTTTTAATTTTTTTTGCCTGAAAATTTTCATTTATTAAGATGTGAAGGAAATGAGCGTAAGATTTTAATGAAGTAACTGTCAATGAAATATCTTTCAGTGAAGTATCTGTGTGATTTGTGGTATCGTTTTATCAGATACTTTTTATGCATAAAAAAAAAAATCCTAATTTTATTTAATTACATGGATGCAGCAAGTTTTCACGGACAGTCGACTTGGATTAAAGATGAGCTGTACAACTAAAGAACATTAAGATTCAGATTCCTCCAATTTGTTTGTTTGTTTTTAACAATCTCAGCACCGTCGACTGGACATCATTGTTGTGCCTTACCGTGAGTACGGCTGTGCACTGGTTTACTTCACCGGATCAGCACACTTTAACAGGTCACTTCGACATATGTGTAAAACCCAGAGAATGTCCCTAAACGAGCATGCCTTGAAAACTGGAGTTGTCAGAAAGGTTGGTTGAAGAATATTTCTATCAAGAGCAAATAATTGTTGTCAAAGACTTTTAGCAACAAAAAAAAAACAACCACAAAACCATTGTGGCCTTGTTCCTTGCCTAATTTTCTGTTCCAAACTTAATTTAAGGAATTTTATTCACACATAACTAAACAACACCCAAAAAACAAAAAGTTGTCCTCTAACTGTGTGCTTAAAAAGTAGGCTAATGAGTGAACCATGGGTGGACATCATATAGCTTCAGCTAACATCCCTCCTTCTCTTGAATGAACTTTCCATGGCCAACTTTCTTTCCTTTCTTTGCACTTTTAATTTGCTACTCACCAATCAACACCACCTAAACTAACTTTCATTTCTAATACACCTTTGCCAAAATTAATTTAGGGAAATATATTTACACATAACTAAACAACCCAAAAAGCAGGTTTGGGAGGGGGGGGGGGGTAAGAGGAAAAAAATTAGAAAAAAAAAAACTTTCATTTCTAATACACCTTTGCCAAAATTAATTTAGGGAAATATATTTACACATAACTAAACAACCCAAAAAGCAGGTTTGGGAGGGGGGGGGGGGGTAAGCGGCAGAAAATTTGACAAAAAATGCATTCTAGTAATGACACACTCTAAAAGAAAACCAATAAGTGTGGCCCCCCCCCCCCCCCCTTTCAAGGCTCACAACTGCACATTTTTCTCACACCCCTGAACTATATTAATATCATAATGACACACCCGTTTTTACAGCAGATTTATTTCACCAACTATGTCAGAAAAAACGAAATATCACACACCAAATGCACTTATGATTTTTTAAAAATAGAAACTCATTTAGCGCAGTTATTGGGGATTTTATTTTATCTTCCCCTTGAAAAACAGGAAAAACCGATTTTTGGAGGTTGGGGCTGAAAATTTGATAGAATGTGCTGTCGTTGGCAATGAGTCTATTGCAAAGTTTCAGCTTGATAGCTTGTCGGGAAGTGGGCCAATTAGCGATCTGAAGATTTTGCCACCCAGCCAGTCAGTCAGCCCACCACCAACAAACAAAAGTGAAGTTAATATAAAGGATTTAAAAATTGCTGGCAGTTCTTATAAACCTATTGGGCATCATGCTTGGACAAACTCAAGAGTGAGTCTGAAGACCAGCTAACATCTCAGAGTCATCCCCTTCAGCCAAAGTGATCAAAAGTTTGAACAGTATTCAGCTATAAGGGGGTCGGACCAAGAATGCCTCACAATACCAAGAAATAAAATGGGGAGGGGCACTATGGTGGATGCTTTTATTAAAAAATAACCCCACAGAAAGTCATTGTAAGTTGATTCAAATTGGAAAAACAAAATTATCAACTTTTTACAATATTTTCTAAACTCTGTTGTAGTGTTGTCTTTTCAACAATATCATTTTGGTAAAATAAAATTTAAAAAACTCTCAGCTCAAATTTACTGTAGTTAAAAGTCCCTGTATTTGAGAGCCCCTGTCCCAGCAGTTTTGTTAATGTAAACCAAATCACTCGGTTAAATCGATATACTTTGCATGTCTTTATGTAAAAACTTAAAGTAAAGTTAGATTCAACAATTTTTCAAAACTGTGCTAACTAAAACTAAAACTTTAATAAAGTAAAACAACTATATTTATTTTTACTCCAGGGCTCAGAAAAGATCTATGAAGGGACTGTTGTCCCGACCCCTTCAGAGGAGTCTGTGTTTGAAGCTCTCAAGATTCCTTATCGTCCACCTGAAGAGAGAGACCACTAGCACAGTACATGTTGTTCTTAAGTATGTGAGGATAATTGGCCTAGTTTATTTATTACTCTTAAAAATGTGATAGATGCTTTATTTATACTTTCATAATGTAAAAAGAGCAAATTTTTATGATTAAATGTTATGTAATCTTTTTAAACAGAGGCCTTAATTTAAAATACCCCAACTCATTATCATGTTGAGCCATACATATATTAACATTATATTAATATTATTTACACACTATATATTTTTTCCCTAAATAGTTTTTATTAGAAGAAATCAAACAATTGTAAAAATTTTAAAGTATTTTAATTTCTTTTTGTATTTTACTAATACTTTAAACATGCTGAATTTCATTATAAAATTTTCATCCATGTATGAGTGCAATAGTTTAAATGCAGTGTTATATACTATTTATTTAATTATTTATTCATAATTTCCTCTTGATGTATTTATCATTTACAATTAATTGTACAGATAAAATAAATATACACAGAGTGTGGCCAGAAGGGTTTTGATGTTTTGCAGTTGAGGTTAAGTTATAAGTTAGTTTATCTGTATTTAATGAGTTAGAATGCCACACACAGATCTGCTAACTTGACTGTCCTTTATGGAAAATTTAAATTATATTAAAAAAATAGCTTTCTCAAGCTTGATAATAAGGGGGGAGAGACTGCAAACAGGTTAGGTAGAAGGCAATATGTGAAACAAGGTATGTGAAAAATTTCCCATTCCTTGTTTCATATATTTCTCTCTCAAGCTTGACAGGGTCACAATCCTTGTCTTTTTTGCCATGGGCACCATAATGTCATGTCACCATATGCCTCTTCTTAGAACAGACATTATTATTATTTTTTTTTGCTTTAAGAGGGTTCCATTTTCTCTATGGCAGTTCAAGAGGAAGAAGCTGAACCTAGACTCACCATGGGGGAAACCAATAATTTCTTATCTCTCATGTTGCAGGTTTAACAATGTAAAATACAAATAAATAATACTGTGACTACATTTTATGTCTATTCCTGTTGTTTATTTATTATTTATATATTTATTATTAGTTTGATATATTTATTAGTTTAATTTTTTGCTAATCAATGCCTCTATACACTCTGCACAACAGGAAAGGTTGCTAAACGCTTAAAAACTATATACATACATCTTCTTCTTCTAGATTTTGAGGGCCCAGGATCAATGTAGTGATCATGCTGGCTCCTTTGATTGCTGTGCATTTAATATTTTTTTCCATTAATATGTACTAATAATTCTCAGTTAGTTAGTTTAAGATACAGTTCCACTCTCATTGATGTGTTGTAATAAAACAAAGTCATTGATTAGTGTAGGAGGACACAAGTTTCCACATCCTCTCTTGAATATATATATATATATATATATATATATATATATATATATATATACAAATATATGAAGAAAAGAACTCATAATTGTTGAGAAAGTTCATGTTAAATTAATTTTTAATCTGACATTACAGTATTTATAGATAACGGAGTTTGATAAAATAATAGTGTGGTCAGAGAATGAAATATAATGTATACACAAGTGTAGGATAATTTAATAACAAGTAACATGGGGTAAGATGGTCAGTATCTGAACTAAGAGATGGAGCATAAAGGTACAAACTAAATGATTGGAAATGATTTAATGAAACATTAAGTAGATTCAACTCCTTTGAAAAATTAGCCAACAACACACTGTAGCACTGGTACACAAGGACTCAAATCTTAGGGGCTGAATGTGTAACAGCACATGTTTAGTACTGGTACACAAGGACTCAGAACAATAAAACATTTGAATGAGCCAAGAAATAAAAATGTAATTTGTTAAGCCTCAAGTAAGCCTTATGAAAAGATTAAAGTTTTCATTTCTGGAAGCAAAAGATGAACAAACTTGACTGACTTGTGCAGACGATAATGATTCTAGTAGAGTAGTGAGGGGAAAGTCTTAAAATTGTAACATTTAATTTATTAGTCGATGTTAGTATTTCCTTGTTAGGAATAAACATCTGTTTTTTTGATAGAAATAAATTAATCAAAAATTAATGTTTTAAATCTCATCGTTCATTGATTAGTTTTATTTCAAAGTCTTTGAATTTCGTATTTGGAACAATACATTGAACAGACTGATATTAAGGGGAAATGTCAGTGGCTTTAGCTATTATGCTCAAACCAAATGAATGGAAATAAAGAAATCATCATACGTACCCCCTTATTAATGTCCCAGTCTAATGATGTAAAAGAATACCAATTTCTATGTACAAAGCGATTTTTCATTTGTAACTGTCTTTATTTTTTAACCATGCCATCCATGTCCATTGGTATAAGTAAACTCAAATAGACTTGGGACAAACTATGTAAACTGTTTAACAAAGATACTGTTCTGTGATTAGGCTAGTACAAATCTTATTGCGTTTTACATTTTAAAAATATTCCTATTAATTCAAATAAAATGCTTAAGATACATGAAGGCCAAATATGTACTAAATTGTTTGTCCAGTACTTAATAAGATTTCTCAAAGCCCGTGGCGTGTTTTTTACGCCTAAGGCGGAAGTTACGCCACTGTAGCAATTGACATCAATAGAACTTTGCAGTGTCGGTTCAAGTTTTTAAATATCTGCAATCTGGTTTCTTTTATTCTCGTTCACTAACCCACACCGGAAACTTGTCCCCGTGCACGTATGTCGCCAACCTTCTCAACACTTGCTCTATTCTTCCTGCGGTCAGTCCGAGAATCTGAATGATAAGCGTGAAACCGTAAAGGGCCCCGCTGATGATGCCGTAAATATTAAGCCTCGACAGGGGCGAGTCCAAACCAAGGTAGAAATAGGAGAGGAACCCCAGCCAAACGGCATTCAAGAGGAGGAATCCGCCGAGGAGACGATTTCGCATCCGACCGAGTCCCTCGGCGAGGGCCGCCTTCTCCAGACCTTTGTTGACGTCAACTCCGAGATGCGTGGCGATGAGGGATTCCCAGAATTTGTACTCCTCTCTGGCCTTCTCATCCCCTTTGGACATGTCCATGACGAGGGAGGACAGAATGTCTTGCAGTTCCGTCTGTGCGTCTGGTTCATGGTTGTCGGGGTAAGGACCTGGAAAGCAATTAACATTTCGCTTTCAGTAAAGTGATGGCCACATGCATCAGACAAACTAAAGTTAATTCAAATCTGTTTTAAATTAAGTTGAACAAAATTAAGCAAATAAGGAACACACGTTTCTTCTTGGACTAGTCGACGCCCCCCCCCCCCCCCCCCCCCAAACTGTTATAGGTAAGTTTATTTTCTTTTTAAAAATATTCTTGTTTTCAATTGAGTTGCTGCCAAGGAAGGCTTTTTGCCGATACATCCTTTTTATTGTGTCTTTTTTTTTTTCCAAGCGTTCCATTACACCCCGTATTCCCCTTTTCCTTATCTCAAAAATTGATCGCCGTCTCCCCCATTGTTATTCCCAAACAAAATTAAAAAGGGTGCAATGATACAAATTGCTCTCGTTCCGTCTAGATCACATCACTCTAATAAGTGCTGTGGGACTAGCTATAACTAAGTAATTGGACGCTGGCCGTGAGTGGGATGTAGAACAGGCTGACGTGCCTTTTGCTGCGTCATAAACTCACCTTCGAACATCCTGACATTATTTCTGTTACGAAAAGGTCAGTTAAACAACATAAAAAATGTTTCTTTCAGCGCATGGTTAAATGAGAATTGTTCATTACAATGACACATTTTCCCATACATTTTCCCCGCACATTTTCCCACACTTCCCACATATTTTCCCACACATTTTGCCACATATTTTCCCACACATTTTCCATTTTCAATGAAACACGTCTTTTTTTTTTCTTCCTCGCACCAAACATTTGCAGAGATTATAAGGAAAAGGCGGATCCTATTTGTAGATTATGCAGACATAGATCCAAGGTCACAGAAAGAAAGATACGTTTTTTTTTCCCCTCCCATCCCCATGAGGAGATTGCACGATTAAAATCACGCAGTAAAATAATGGAATAACCGAGGAGAGCAGATGCGCTTTCTGGGAAATTGTTTTTGTGATGACCTTGTTCTTTTAGAATACCGTAGATACCATAAACAAGGGTTAAAGTACATTCTGTGGATTGATAGTTGGACACAAATGCGCTTTAGTATTGTAAAAAAAAAAACCAACAAAACAACAACTACAAACAAACAAAAAAAATAATCAAATAAGAAATGAAATAAATAAAACAAACAAATAGTCTTACTTAAAAATTTGAATACCGGTAGCCGAAAATAAAAAAAAAAAAAAAAAAACAACAAAAAGAATAAAAAACAAATGCGCTTTAGTATTAAAAAAAAAAAAACCAACAAAACAACAACTACAAACAAACAAAAAAAATAATCAAATAAGAAATGGAATAAATTGAACAAACAAATAGTCTTACTTAAAAATTTGAATACCGGTAGCCGAAAATAAAAAAAAAAAACAACAAACAACGAAAAGAATAAAAACATTACCTTGACTGACGTCTTTAGATTTACTTTTCTTCATTCGTTTTCTCAACTTTTTCAAACTTGGCATACACGATAATTTGGGCATTTTAGCCTTGTTCTGCAAATAGGACAAAAAGAACAAATTTAAAAAGAGTTGCCAAATGTATTGATGTATTGCTTATTTACCTCTTAGCATTTCTTTCTGTAACCAAGATTTAAATGTCTTAAATATAATAACATACACTATTTGAATATGATTTAGTCTCATTATGTTATGTGCCCAATGACCTAATTACAAATGTACAACATTCCAATGCTATTTTAGTTTGTTGTTGACTGCGTTCTTTTTTGTTGTATACTGAAGGATTCGAATGAGTACCCCCCACCAATTAAGTCTTTGATACCACTGTTGTTACTTACCGAATCTCTGGTGCCCCAGCTCTGGTCGATGATGTTCGCTATGCTGTAAATGGGCAATAGGACATGCATGGCCGGGAAGATGAAGAGGTAGGCGAAGCCGTAGATGATCTGGTGGCTCTCCCTCGGGTGCATGAGGGCGGCGTAGACCAGACTCAGGGTCAGTAGCAGTATGACGTAATGTTGTTGGAAGTGGAAGTGACCCGCATTGATCTCTGGGATTTATTTCATTATTTTTTTTTAAGCAGTGACATAAAAAAAAAAAAAAACACCTTTTGCTATTTGACTATCATTTGTTGTTTTTCATGTTGGAGATTTTTGCCATGCATACAAAAAGATAAACACTGTCATATTGGTCACTAAAGCTACGCTAGCCATAAATGAGCTTTTACATGTGTCAGGTGAGTTGAACAAAGTTTATACTTTTAATAATTTTTTTAATTTTTAGCACCCCCCCCCCTTTTTTTTTATAGCAGATGAAAAACGCTACATATTTTTTTAGTGCAATTAAATGCTACGACAGTGTAGCTCTGCAAGATTTGCTTCACTCCTATTTTAATCAACTGCAACTCAACAACATTATTTAATTTAAAATTAAATTACTAACAAATTCCCCTAGAGTCCACCACGACCAACTTCAATCAAATCAATTTACATAAAATTGTGTTAATAATAATAATAACAAATACAAAGTCTAAAGCTAAAAATATTGTAAATATTGGCAATTTGTAAAAAGTTTCGGCCCTGAACAAAAATGAATTTAAAACAAATCAGAAAACGATTCCTTGAACTTTACCCAAAACATTGATTGAGTATAATTATTAATTGTTTAAGAGTTTGACAATGTTCTTCGCTAATTGGAGAGAACTAACTACTAACTACTGTCTGTTACGTGGCTTGCTCATTTGCTCACCTGCTACCATGCCTGCCGTGATCTTGTACGAGCCGTACATGGCCACCGATGAAAACATGCTGCCCATGAGTACCATGAGGACGCTGGTCAGCAGGCCTTGGGTACGGGCACTGGTGCACGTGCATATGAAGGCGTACAGGTAAACAATGAGGGCCATGGGGATTGTAGTGTAGACGTATGGAATCTCAAAAACTAATTCTAGACCTGGAGGTATGAAGAAAAAAAAAAAAGACAAATTATTATTTATATAACGGAAGTAAACCGTAAAAATTGGAGGCGGCGATGTGTGAACCTCCCATTCACTAACATTACTTGACAAAACATGCATTCGAGGAACGCACTTTATAAGAATCCCGATTGGTGCTAACTTCTGGGAATTTATTTTACCCGCCTTTTGAACACAGCGTTACTGCCATACATACGTACCTAGAGAATTATTATTTGTGATTTTGATTGGACAAAGGTAAAAGGGGTGGCCCCAACTCTAACAATAAATATATCTAATTCACCTCAAATTGAAATATTGAATCAAGGGGATGCGAGGATAAATGTTGATAAGAACAGAGAAGCGATGGACTTACGGCTATGATTACTTCTTCTTTCAAAGTTAAATTAATGTAATAAGTAGCAAGTTTATTATTTTTATTTTTAAATTTCTCTTTGTAATTTAAAAAAAAAAAAATGTGAATTTCATTTTCGTTCAAATTTTACTGTAGATTTGCGTCCTTTTTACGAGTTGCGAGACTTAGTCAAATAAGTCGTATAGAAAATTTAATCAGCCCGAGAGATCCGCTCGAAACTAGTTGGAAATACAAATTAGGTGCTTTTTTTTTTTTTTTGAATGAAAAAAAACAAAAAAAAAAAAAAAACAAAATTCTTCCAAATATTCCCATTACAGAAAAAAACAAAATTTAAAAAAAATTAAAAAAAAAAAAAAAAATAGGTGCTTTTTTTTTTTTTTGAATGAAAAAAACCAAAAACAAACAAGAAACAACTGTCTTCCAAATATTCCCATTACAGCAGACATCATAATTTAAAAACAGTTAAAAAAAAAATAAAAATAAACAAGTGACTTAAGTTTTGCCATTGTTTGAAACAAATCAGTGAGCCTAAAATGTATCAAATAACTCACAATCTTTGACCTTAATTATTTTAAAGGCACCAAAAATGTTGAAAATTAATATTAAGTAGACATTATTTAATAATAAAAGAGAGAAATTTAGCAGTTATGCTCTTGCCAAAATCCTTGGGCAATAGTGAACTCTAACAACAAATATAGTAATTAAAAAACAAACAACAACAACAGCAAAAACAAAGTAACAAACAAACATAAAAAAGGAATGAAAAGGACAACACGCAGAAAACTCGACACAATTCGTCTTAACTTACAACGCAAACCTGTTTTTATCTATCTTAAAAGTAATGTTCAGAAAAGATGTCAAAAGAATAGAAACAGCTAATCAGCAGCAACCATGTCATGACCAGCCTATACCAACCTGCAGTAATCATGACGATGGCAGTACCCGGCGTGATGACGTTGTTGAGGAACATGTTGACCAGATAGATGACGTACATCAGGCTGAAGCACTCGTTGTTGCGCACCAGGCGGATGAGATTCTGTACCACCAAGATGGCGTTGGCCATGTCCGACAGGATCCACCGCCTCCTTTGCTTGTAGTACTCCTGAAATGTGTTCAAAGATCAACTAAGTTACTTCCTTTGAATCTTTTCGTATAAGATATTATGACCACCAGATGTGCAGAACGCCCAAAGATGCAAACGAGATAGCTAACTAAAGGATAGTGTTAAAGGCTTAATGCGCTCCAAGGTCTTCATTTTGTCCTGTGCAAAGGTGTATGTGGTACGTTCAAATTTTTGTAAAACAGAGTAGCTCACCGGTGGTTGCCACCCTCCTTCTTCAAATTGGGTTGGTTCAAAAATCATGTTTGTTGTTTCTAAACTTGATTCCAGTCAGTTGAGTAGGGTTAATTAAAACAGACCCAATAATAAAGTTTTAAAAATAAAATTTATGCTTTAACCCTTAAAAATTTATTTTCATCTAAATTCACAGTATCGTCTCCCAATCCATTTTTCTAAACTAAACCATGACCCTCCACACCATGACATGAAAACGGAAATGATATGAACCAATCCATTTGCACTTTTCCCTCTGAAAATAACTAATTTTTTTTCCCCATCGTAGTCGTACCCCATTCATATTATCTTGTCAATGATCGTCCTTAAAAGATTATGTTAGAACAAGAATAACCATCGTCATTTTCTCTCTAAGTCGAACAGTAATAAGATATAAAAAAACCCAAAAAAAACAGACGTTGCTAATTTTTTGTGTGTTTGAAATCATGGCTTGAAAACCGAAGATGTGGGAGTGGGAGGAGGAAACATCACTTGTTTAATTTTAAACGACAAACTCTCCCGTAGACGAGTTTTGTTTATTTTTAAGTAAATTTCGATATTATTTTAAAGAGCACCCGGTCTGACCTCAAAAGTGTCGGGACAGTAAGTTGTGTTGTCAGCAAAAGGTGAGTAACGCATGCGCCAGCCGTTGATCATCATGAGTGTAGCCATCCACCGGTCCTCACCTGAACATAATGCAAGGGGAAAAAAATAAAGACAGTTAGTGTCTGAGTTTAGAGACCTTCAATTAAAAAAAAAATAACCTGTCTATGTCCAATATTAATTAATTAATTAATTTGTTTACAAGCCGTCACCAGTAATCAATATTTAAATTGAAACAAAAGAATGGGATTTAAAAATAAAATAAATTTAGAATTTTTGAGTCTCGACGCCGCTTAATATCCTGTCTGGTTCAGTTGGCATACATATTATAAGAAGACACTTCCCTAGTGATAATAGAACTGTGCATCGTAATATGAATCACTATTTATAGAATCGACATGACTGCTCAGCTCTGTTTCGCTGTATATTTATAGGCCTTGCAAAATTGAAAAGTAACAAACAGAAGAAAAAAAAAAAAAAAAAAAAAAAAAAAAAAAAAAAAAAAAAAAAAAAAAAAAAAAAAAAAAAAAAAAAAAAAAAAAAAAAAAAAAAAAAAAAAAAAAAAAAAAAAAAAAAAAAAAAAAAAAAAAAAAACAACAACAAAAGAAAAAAAAAACCAACAAAAAAACCAACAAAAAAAACAACAAAAGAACCAACAAAAAAACCAACAAAAAAAACAACAAAAAAAACAACCAAAAAACCAACCAAAAAACCAACCAAAAAACCAACCAAAAAACTTTGAGAAAACAACACCAATCCAACACATACACACAAACCAACCAAGAATTACGAGCCGATTGAAACAAATTAAAGAAAACAAAAAATCCAAACAAGAACAGACATGCCCTTTTTAGATTGTACGAATTTACCGGTATCTTTGACGTAGACGGTGAATGGTGTCCTTGTCGGGCTCGAGTACTTGCTCATAACGTCTCTGATAGCACTGGCTCGGTACAGACTGAAGCATCCCGGGCAACAGCTGACAGAACCTATTATGTTCTGAGCATTTTTGATCATCCAGAAGTCTGTATGTGCGTGTGTGTGTCATGCATGAGGGGTGAGGTTGGCGGAAGGAAGAGAAAAAAAAATCTCCATTAGTGCACACAGATAAGTCAAGTTTAGTTGCTGAGAAAACATCTATACGGTTAGACAGAGGGGGAAAAGATAAAATGCTGCAATAACCGAAAGTGTCATTGATGGTGCAATCATGCTTGGTCTGGTGACTTATTTATTAGGCGCAGAAGAAACTACATCGACTACCTCTTGGTAATTAGCAAAATGTTTTGGCTTTGGTAAGAATAATGATATGGAAGGTATTTTAGATAACGTTGATACTAGCATATGTTACTGTTTCGATAGAAAATCATATGATTAAACAAGACCAAAAAAAAAAAAAAGGCCAACACTAAGTAATGTATGTTTTCGTTCGCAAGGGTTGAACAGTTGTGTCACGTGGCTTTTAAACGGATCTGGTAAAGGCCAACACTAAGTAATGTATGTTTTCGTTCGCAAGGGTTGAACAGTTGTGTCACGTGGCTTTTAAACGGATCTGGTGTCGTGTTTTTTTTTTCCCCTGTCGTTTAAAAAAAATTGACCAGATATGTTAGCATGCTTGGAGACCAAGTTTGGTAGATAAAAACCACCATCTTACATTGTTTTGACTAATCTGTCTACACTATTTTAGATCTGTGGCGTTCCAGTAATAAAATATTTAATTGTGTAACAGTTCCCCGAACCAAAAATATAGGCATTTCAATAATTCAGTAAAAAATAAATATAAACATATTATCGAGGTATACGAATGAGTGGGATTTCATCCCTTTTGGAGTTCGTTAATTTGCAAAAGGGAGAAGAATTTTTTTTTTTTTAAAAATAGTTTTAAAGCTACCCCCCATCTCCTCTTCCCCGCGAGGCGTTAAACTGAAAAGTTACCTTTAGCATATTCAAACACCTGATGCCAAACAATAGAGCTGCACTTCTGCCCGATCGGATGTGTCCTCCCGCAAGCCGCGCCGATCCGCTTGTCCGACGTGCAAAGATCCAACAGCTCCTTGATGGCGTCCGCCTTAAAATCCATGTCGGCGTCCGTGGCCAAGATGAACGTGTGGTCATCGTCCACGTAAGCGGACTGCCCGACGACGACGTCAGTGTAAGATGACGGCGCGGTTTTGTTGGTCGAGTTCAGGGCGTCATTGTCTGCGGAGTGGGATACATTTCATTGCAATTTGTGTGTTGAAAAAAAAAGCATTGTGCCAGAAAAGTTACAACACGTTATGAAGAGAGTATTCGATGATGTTAATTGCGTAAGAGAAGAATAACTCCTTTATTTGATATGAAACTGAATGCTTACTTATTTACAAGTAGACTGAGAACATAGCTTTGATGGTACATTAAAATCACGGGAGTTACAAAACAGGGGCGTCATTTCAGGTTTTTTCCAAGGTCCCTCCCTCCCCGCAAAACCAAAATTTGGTCGGCTTGTTTATTACTGGAGGCGCTAGCTACAGTACATAGCAACTTAAATAAAACCTGCAAATTCAGTGGGGTGGGGGGCAAATGCCTCCTGCACTACCGAAATGACGCCCCTGTAACAAAGGTTATTAATGTGTAGAAATAAAGAGAGCACAGAGAAGGTCTCGTAGATTTATACATAATTTTTTAAAAGAAAGATAATTCGTGATATTCGATGCTTACATTTTTTTTTTAGTGTAAAACGCTTTTATATTAAAGTAAGCTCTCAACAACACATATTCTGACCCCGAAAAAAAGCGCACTTTCGGTAATCAACAGAAGTAGAGTTTTAAATCTAATCAAGAATATATACAAATTTAGGCCTAAGTTAAAGATTTATTTTATTAGATAAATATTTAATTGTTATTAAATCACACATTGAACATTTTTTAAAACTCTTGCGTTGATGATAACAACCGTTAAAAAAAAAAGTTGAGCCCATGCCTACCTGGGCCAGGTGTTGACCAGCTCACACCTTCACCGTCTGACTGGTACCCGCGATTGACGTAGGCCCCGAGCGGGACATCCTTGAACTTCTCGTCTGGAAGCGACTCGAGATCTGAGCTTTCTTTGCTTGAACTGTATACCTGGCCCTGGATGTTATAAGGATGTAAGTGAATGTTGGCTCGCGCGCAGTCTGCCTAACACACGGGGCTTTTTAGATACAGGTAAAAGTAAAAAAAAACAAAAAAAACTCACACATATAAATTCCATAGGAATGTCAAAAAGAAACTTGTAAGAAAATAAAAAAAAAAACAAAACACCTACAGATCTTGGTATAGGTTGATGTAACAACATGATCATTAATTGAATTAACTTAAGCTTAAGCAAATAAACGATTGAATTAACGCAGGATTAAAGTGAGCAGAAAATTGTCTAGATTCTTTTGGATGCTTCCAGATAGAAATCTCAAGAAATAAAATACTTAAGAAAGATTAATTTTTAAACAAAATTAAATTATAAAAAAAACTAAACAAATTTAAAAGATAATCTCTTTAAATAAGTTGAATTATAATTATTATTGAAGGTAAATTGAAGAAATTTAAAATTTATAACATTTTATAATGTTGTTATGTATATGCTCATTAAAAATCAAGGGTTCAGGTAAGTGGTACATAGGGCTTAAAAAATAAACAAAGATTATTTTTTTTGTGCTAATTGGGAAGATTTGCTCGAAAAATATAAATTGATGTAAAAGTAAATATAAATACATAAATGCAATTATGAATAGTAAAAAATGCAAAGGTACTGGAAAAAACAACAAACAGAATGCGAGTTTTAAGCTATCAAAATACGGAAAATGAATAGCTGAGGGGACCTTAAGTCCTAGCAAACCTCGGAGTAATAAAGTTAGTAGTAATAAAGCTAGCAGTACTAAACCTAGCAGTAATAAACCTAGAAGTGACAAACCTTGTCGTAAAGAGAAAGTCTCTAATAAAAGGAATGATCATTAGCTGAAAAATGTGTTAAAAAAATTCACTAAAATTGTACATTCATTTAAGCATTCATAATCATAATCACAATGATAATTATAATCATAAACATAACTTATTTTAGTTTGAGAGTGATCTTGATTTTTAAACCGTTTTAGAATCTACAGTTTGACAGTCTTGTAAGCATACATAAAATTTGCGAAGGTACACACAAAAGTTAACACTGTTGTCTTAGTGCATAGAGGTTAAAAAAACCACAGTTAATAAATGTGTAACAAACGTAACTCACCTGAGATTCCGACTCGCTATTTGGTGGACTTGAATCTTCCACAGATGGACATCCATGGACGGTGTCAGCCGCGACCCGGAACTCGGCCAAAGTTGGGTAACCAATGTTCGTTATCCGCCTCAGCATGAACTGTTCGTTGTGGCTCAGAAACTGAATATCACCCGCTTCTTGAACAGACTTAGAAATGCTGGACACCGCATGCCGTCCAAGGTCGTCCATGGAAGGCAGGGCGATGTTTTCACTGTCGTTTCTCCAAAGAACTTTACGGAACCTCATCACGTAGTTGATGTACATGGCCTGGCTCCAACGCTTTTTGGACTTCACCTTTTTCGGGTCCTTCAGGTGGACAAACATGGGCAGCCCGCTCGGAAGCTGGCAGAAGATCTGTAGGCCGTAGGGCGTGATCCAGCATCTCGCTCTGTCCAGCATCACCCCGGTCTTGCCCACGAGCAGCGCCACGAATTGCAGAGCGAACTCGTTGAGCGTTACCCCGGAGCAGCCGTTGTCCATGAAGATGTTGCTCTCGAAGTGGATGTCTTTGAGAAGAGGGTCCGAGGATATCTGCATCAAGCTCATCAGCAGCCTCTCCATCTCGTAGTCAGCCTCTCTGTACATCGTCGTACAGATGTAAATTCGATTTTTAAGTCTTTTTGACTGAAACCCGTACGCTTCCTGGGTAACGTTGGAGTCGTATCCGAGCAGGAATCGCTGATCGTGGAAAATTGGATTCCAGCCGTATCCTTTGAACAGAACTTTGTAAGGGGTCAGCAAAAACTGGGGCTTCCTGAGAAAGGTTGACGCGTTTAGAATAAACGGCCATGCCCACGCCCAGGCTAGAATCGAGGCGCAGATCAAATACGGAGAAAATGAACCAAAGTATACCGTCTCATCGATGCCGTATAGGGAAGGGGCTAATGAAACGCAAAGCACCAGACTCGTTACCATTGAAAACAAAGATGGCACCACGACTCCAAAAAGAGGCTGGCACAGAGCGAGCGCCGCGTAGGAAAACCCGAACCCGATGAGGCTGCTGAGAAAATGAACAGCCAGAGGTAGAATGACCTCCGGTCGCGCCATGACGTAAAACCCTCTCAGATATCGCTCCAGGAGGTGATCGGCGTGGGCCACGTCACTTCGGAAGTAGAGCTCCACCAAGATGAAAAACACAATGGCGAGGACCTTCACCACGCCGTAGAGCAGGCGGAAGCGTTTGTGACACAAGGGGTCGTTTCCGGACGGGTTAAGGACGTGAGCCTGGAGGTCCGGGCTCCAGATGAGACCAAGCAGCGTTGGGATGACGGCCAGGCTGATTGAGGTCACGACGTCTGAGAGATTCATGATGTACAGGAAACAGGCAGCCGCTGGCGACACCAGGTTACACAGGACGGAGGCGGTGATGCGAGCGCCGATACAGAGGAAAGACTTTTCACCCGACGGCTTGCTGATGATGTCATCTGGACACGTGACATCAATGGATGCTTTCTTTTTTATTAAAAAAAAAGGCATTAAGGCATTTGATGTGAATAATAAAATCAATAAATATTGTATTTTCTACATGTTACAGTGATTTTTATGCCGATTTCGACAAAGCTTTTGTTTAATTTTGCACATAGAAAAAATATAATTCAGAATAGTAGGTTAAAATTATGAAATGGACCATAACATACGGTTCCTTAATCGAAAGTGAATTGGCTAGGAATTATTTAAATTTTGAATTAGTTCACAAGTTTATAAACCCTACCTTAAAAAAAAAAATCAGTTAAACGTGATTAATTTATAAGAAAGCCAAAGTTCTTTGCCTATGTTCAAACTTGCTGGCTCTTACAAGTGTAATAAATGAGCAAGCGCAATAGTTCTATTAACATCAATAGAATAATACATGTATTTATACAAATACATAAATAAACACACTTCTTACCCCGAACCATAGTTTAAGCAAGACAGTTGTAAAGCTTCTATGATGTATTCATGTTATTTATACATAAATGACATTCTGGAAAAAGAGAGTGACAAGTGACGGGTGAGCCGTAATTACCTTGCCCCCCCTGTTCAGGGATGAAATAAGGGACGTAATGGCCAGGACTCCGTGTGTTGCCGGTAAGGCTACAAAGACCGGAAGTATGGCCATGACCCGGGTGGTGAACATGACGACACAGCTGGCTTCCACGATTGCGGCAAAAACGCCCTGATGATTAAAAAAGAAAGTCTGAAATGCGTATACAATCCAGGGGCGTTGGAAGAGAGTGCGGTCCGCCCCGGGCGGCACATTTTCTTCTTTATAGGTAGTGATGGCCAACTGGAGAATACTTTCGAGGGAGAGGGCGGCAACATTTTTTGGCCCGCCCCAAGCGGCAGTAAACATTAGATACGCCACTGGTTAAATGGTTTTGTTACGACTTGGCATGAATTGTAAGAAATGTCAGAAAACGGTTACTACGTTATTGTTTTCAACTGGCATACAGTTATTCATTTCTTCCAATGAAAAATAGTGCCGGACTTTGCATTGAGAGGCGCACACTCCTGCTGATTTTAATTTAAAGATTATTTCCTCAGCAAATTGAATTATAGTCTAACTATATCTTTAACATTCCTAAAAATAATAAAAAAAAAAAAACTGTCATTGAATAGGGGTGAGTGCTATACGCCATAGATATTAAAAATTAAAATATTAGGACCTTATCAAAACAATTCATTATAAGATAGTATTCATTGGGCCGTAAGTAAAGAGACAGTGCTGGGCGATTTCTTCTGTTTCAATGACGACGACCATGACTGACTCAGTTCTATGGAAGGCTATAATCATCTGATACGTGGACGGTTTGCATAGACACGATGGAGAAACGTTTTCTCTTCTTGCCTGACCCACTAAACGGACAAATCAAAGAACATTTTTGTGTGTGTTAAACTAGTCATTGACTTATAGGTTTAGCTCTTTTTTCTATAGTTATTAAACATTTCCCCGATAATTTTGGATGAATTTATCTCCACACACTTAATCTAAATGTAAATGTGGGCTGGCGCTATGGTAGCTGGACAGATTCGATTGCTTTACATCACCAAAAAAAAAAAATCCACTTCCTATAAGATAGTTAACCTAGAGAAATGTAACGCTTCAAATATTGACCAGTCTGTTTTTTCATGTCAAGACGTAATGACTAACACTGCTGTGTGTTAACCTCCTCCCCCCACCCCATCAAAAAATCATCGCCCCCACCCCCCCAAAAAAAAACAAAACAAAACAACAACAACAAAACAAAA